GTTAGAAATGGTAGTGACTAGAATTTGGATGCAACTATTTAAACATCATATTCTTCATTCATCCTTAGAAACCTATTTTGTATGTCGTGCTCTCATTTCTGAGAAGCGATGGAAGTGTCTGTAACCTTGAATGTTTGGAGAAATAATTGCACCGTAGGGAATTAACCTGCACTCATAGGGCAGTGAACCAAAAATAAATGGCGTTGAGGTCTTTTTGTTGTTCTAGCTAAGCACCCTGATGTTCAGATGCTTGTGAATTTTCATTCTGTAATCCCCCTTGTGAGTCCAGCTCCCTGTGCCTCTTCCTTGCAACCCCCCATACCGTCCCTTCCCCTCTGCTGCAGCACTGGGCTGACTTTGCCTGCAGTTCTGACTCTATCTTTTTCCTGATGGGTTGCACAACAGATCCTCAGTTGGAGCCCTGGGAGTACAGAAAAAAAAAAGAAAGAATAGCCTTGTAGGCCAAGGTACTAGCCTGAAACTTGGATTTTTATATGCTTTGTCAGACTTGTTTTGTTATAGTGCTCAGAAGTCCCTTAGGGGATGGTTGACAAAAGGTATTTTGTCTTTTAATTACCTTTTGAAATCAATGGGAGATTGTATGTCTAAATATCTGCATGGGTTTTATCCTGTATGTGTTTGTTTGCTGTCTACAAAGGAGAGAACAATACTTTCTTACCTCACAGGACTGTGGAGGAGCAAAGGAGGGAGAGCTCTTCTTCAGAAAGATCTCCATCCTAGATATAAGAGTGTGGTGCTCTGTATTTACCCTAACCTCTCCTCTGAACCTTCCTTCCTTGATAACATCTTCTTGAGTAGATAACCTTCTCTTCCTAATACGCATACGTATATTATGTATGCCCACATTTTCTTTTATATGTATACACATATATACGAATGTATATATAACATATATTAAATGTTATTATTTTTATACTTTATATAGTATTTTAAATATATAAAAATATTTTAGTCTCAAGTGAAATACTTTCTCTGTTTTGTGTAACCCCCTGCTTTTACATTCAATCAATTAATTTTTGTTAGGGCTGGGCCATAGGCCTATCTGCAGGCTGCAGAAAGGTGTTGGTGTTTTGCCCAGAGCTAGTGGTTGATGTGCTAAGGTCTTTCCTTACCACCCATGCAGCTTATCTCCTGACTATTTATGATTAATAAAATGCTGGGCCCTTGGCTGCTTCTCGCCTCATGTGTTAATCTGGATGGATGGACGGATGGATGCATCTGAACTGCAACTATTGCTAGGTGGAAAACAGCTTGCTAACACACAATTTAAGGGAAGAAACAAACAATTTATGTATGGTTGAAAGGGCATGGATAATAAGGTAAATGAGTTCTGAGTAAAATGGTCCCTAAGCATTCTTTTCCTGCCTCACAGGCGTTTGTAAAGTGCTTTGAGATCGTTTATATAGAGATCACAATATCCTTGCACAACTCTTCTCAAATTTTCCTCCAAGCAGAGAAGAAACTTTAATATGAATTGTTTCTGTGTAGGGGGCCATGTTTCTTTAGGCTCACAGAATGCTTCACTCACTAGCAGTCACTCTGATTTGTCTTTAAGATTAGTGATTTTTTTTTTCAATTAAAACAGAATGTAAAAATATTGCCCAATTAGAAAGCATTATTGTGTGTTTATAAGTACCCTTGAATGTACTTATCCACTGGGAGCACACAGATATCTGTTGGAATTTAATTTCTCTGCAGCACGTTGGGGGTGGGGACAGAAGAGAAGTAGCCAGAAAATTATGGTTGCTGCAGTAAATACCAGGCTTTTCCCAGTGACCTGCACTGACTGCAGAGCTTATTACATCTAATGTAAGCATAAAACATCTGTTCAGCAATGCCGTTCTCTGGCTGGTCCGTATTTGTACAAGCAATTTATGCGTTCTTGGCTGATTGTTGCCTGTTCAGGGGAGTCGTGAACAAAAGGGGGTGTCACATTTTAAAGTTTATTGTAGAAAAGATGTTACGAAACACCTGCAAGGCAGCACTGCTCGTGGTGGCAACCATGCTTCGCCTTTGTGGTGTGGTTCCCTCTGAGCTCCAGAGTCATAGCTGTGCAGGCCAGCAGAAATCCTGTGGGTGAATGGTGTAGCCTGTAGCGAGCAGCGTGGATGGTGCATAAGGCTGTTGTTTCAGAAAGCTAACTTTGGAGTCCCCTAGGGGTGTGTTTTATCTGGGGGTTCCTACAAAGTCAGTCTGTGTTGTCAGGTGGTGACACCCTGCAATAAGGCAGAGGTGGTGAACCTTGTGCTCTCAATCTAGCAAATTCTTTGGAGCACAGTACTGCTGCTGGTACATGGCATGTGCTGTCCTTGCTCTGGGCCGTCGAAGGTGAACCTAGGGCACTGCCTTCAGCAGCTTGTGATTTTGCTTGAATTTAGTCATTGTTGGCAAAGCTGGCACTTCCACTGAGGTGGCTTTTACCTGACCGAAAGAGGTGCAGCAGCACTTGTCATTCGTGCTTTGCAGTAGCTTTTACCCCCTCGGGGTACAGAGCTGCAGTGAGTGCATCTGCACAACGTGTTGGCCGTGCGTGGCTGTCATGGGCGCAACTCCCCAGAGCTGGCAAGTCTGTATAATACAGCAATTCCTGGTCTGGTTGTACCCAGCGCGGTTTGACTGACTCCCTTCCAACCTGAGAAGCTGGCTCGCGGGTGGCTCTGAACAGTGGGCAGAGGAACAGCTGTATGAGTAGAGTACAAAGCTTTATGGGCTCACCAGCGTTCTTTTAGCTGGTTTCCAGGCTCTGTAGCTGCTGCTGTTAGGTATAGGAAGAAAATGCTTCTTTGTGAGGGGATGTTTTATGTTCTAAACAACACCTTGTTTGGGTGTGTGGTTTGTTGGTGGGTTGTTTTTTGGTTTTGTTTTTGTTTTTTTTAAATGTAGTGTTTCTGAAAGGGGTCCTGGCGGTAAGTATAAGCCACCAACCTGAGCAGTTTTTTTGTACTGATGCTTTTGAATCAGTGCCTGTGTTAGTGTATTTCCTAGGGAAGTAGCCAAGATAGAATTATTCAAACCTCAGATAAAATTTATTTATTTTATTAGCAGCAGCTTCAGTATCTCCAATTTTCAGCACTTGATGAAGATGCAGAATTTGCTTTTTGCCAGAAAGCCTTCGTGTGTGTTTCCATGTGTGGATCTTGTTTCCATGGCATCAACCTTTAAGCTCCAGAAGCATTGGTGGGAGCATTAGCCAGTGAATAGGCATTAGGAAGCAGCCCTGCTCCCATGTAGGGCTCTGACGTGTGGTGAGGATAATGATATGGGGTGTGGTGATGATTTATGCATTTTTAACAGTCAGGGCTTAAAGCTTTTCCTGCCTGCAATATTCTGGAATAGAAGACTTGATGCTAGTGCTCTTGCAAAGGCATTGCTTTTCCTGCTGCATTGTCTTGATTTTTCTGAAGATGAGTCCATCCTGGAGTGTGCTGTGACTTGAATTATTTTTCTTGCCCTGTTTTCCTGAATCTTTTAATGTCTTGGCTAAGCACCTCTATCCCAAAGAGTCTGTTTTGTCTTCCTTGCCATTGTTGTGTTAGGATGGCATTGACCAAATGTTTTCATGTCACAGCTGTGGTGCGGGTACATCGTGAGTAGTAGTAACTGCAGTGTTTATTTGTAACACAATCGCTCAAACTAGTCTGTGTGTCAGTCTTGGGTGTCTCTTCTCCAGTAAATGCTCAAGCACAGTGGGCTGAGTACGTGGACTGTTTTGTTAACTCCTATGGTTTTCTGTTATGCAGACATTGAGGTGATTGCAGCAGTTTCTCTGGCTGTAAAAACTATAAAGTTATGCACACACAAAGCCATATAAAATTTTGGTGGTATGGACTTCTGTTTTTAATATACTTCTGCTTTATATTTTTATCGTTGCAAATGTACTTTTAATAAGTAGAAGAATGTGCTTATTAATTTTCTCCAGCTCAGTAGTACGTGTAATTGGCAGCTAGGTGTAAGACAATGAACCAGACACAGGATTTTGAGGGGATTGCTTATGTTTTAATTTAAAACTTGAGGACACTCAGTAGGGTAACCTTGTGTAAGATAATGTCTGTATTATGTCAGACAATTATGCCAGCAGTGACATTGCAAAAGAATTCAATGGGAGAGACAAGCCCTTGCAGTAGGGCAGCGGGCTGCTGTCCGTGCTTGTGTTACCATCATTTGTGAAGAACTTATGAAAGCTTAGTGAATGATACTACGTGATATATGCTAAAGCAACTTGAACATCTAACGTTCACAGCAGCTGCAAAGAAGCAAGAAAAATACACTGAACTATGAGTTTGCTTTGCAAAGAAATTGATAACTGATTTCCATCACAAGTGAGCTTGGAAGAAAATGTTTGCATTGGTTTCTTCCTTTTTTTTTTCCTGCAGCTTTTAAAAATTAAACCAGCCTGCTGCTAATACAAGAGTTGAGTTCTATGGTATTTTTTTCTCCATTCTAGACAAATTACCATAGGGATTGTATCACTTTAGGTTTATCACACTGAGCCTGTATACTCTGTGCAGTTCTACAGGGATCATCTGGAAAAACAGTATAGATAAGAGAAATGGAGATCTTCATCACCCTTTTGATTCCTAGCTGTCTCTGTCTGGCTCTGATCTCGCAAAGGCTTAATTTGCCTTGGCTCTATGCCTGTGAATAGTCTTGTTGGATCCAGTGGATGTTGTCAAAGGTGTGATGTTTTTGCAGAATTGTGGTCAGTCTTGCTCCTAAGGATTGAAATGTCAGTGGTGACTGCGTTTTAAAAGAAAATGCCTGTTTATTAACAAAACAAACAAGCATAGCCCCCTGCCACCAAGCCCCTAGGTGAGACTACAAATGAAATTTCGTTTAAAAGTGAGAGCACTTCAACCTTGATTTTGCATCCTACAAACTGTAGTAGTTTGTTTCAGGTTAATTTTTAATTTCCTGTCATAATTGTGGTTGTCTTCCTACTGGTAAGTGGGTTCTCTTATTCATTCATACTTCTTTTTCAGATTGCATGTGGTTCAGAGCATAATCTGGCAGTAGTTGGTAAGTAGCTTAATTTTACATCAAATCCTCTCACCTTTTTTTCATTTTTCAGTAGCCCAAGATGAAAGAAAAACATGCACATCAAACATGCTGAGTGATTAAGGGCATTGTGTGCAGCTGAAAGGAGGAAAGTAATATATAGATGTGGAGGAAAGAAGAGGAGAAACCGGTAGCATAAGTGGTGATGATGAAAAGGTGCCCTTGTTGACCAGCCCCTGTAAGGAGAGAGGGGTCAATGCAAATGTACTTTGCTGTTACATCCAAAGTGCTACAGCCTGGTTTAGAATGGAGCCATTGCAACAGTTCAAGCTGCAGATTCAGAGTAGCATCTAAGCTTGAAGCTGGTCAAAAGTATCTTTGTTTAACATGGAAATTCTCAACGAAAAAAAAAAATCCTGGGTCTTTTGTTGTCCAAAGCTTGGAAAATCTTCAAAATGTCAGTCAGTGGTAGTCAGGTTCTTTAGTGCATCTTAGTATAATGCAGCTGTTGTAATAATGATGAAAGTACTAGGAAGCTAATGTTGGTGGAAAAATTAAATTTTGTGTACTAATTCCAGGAACAGTCAGATTCGTGCTTTCATGTGATGACTTGAGAACTGAAGTTTCATATGTGATTGCTATTATTTATAATTATATGTTTAAGAACATTTTTAACTCTAGATTTTCTTTATAAAGGAGATCAGCATAATTATCCCCATTAATAGACAGGGTGAGAGAGATGAAGAAAGGAATTCTATGCTAATCACAGCTGGAGATGAAACAGCCTTCTAAGTTTCAGTCCAGCACTCCATCCCCATAGACATTTTTGATTGCCACGACTGATGCTTTGAGATGTTAAGTGAAGAATTTCCTTGATTTTCTTAAGTGTGGTGTGACAGGTATGGAGAAACCAGCTATTTAGTATCCAACCTGCGTTCCATGTCCTAATTTTTAAGGTATTTATTTTAGCTTGGTGTCTCATCAGTTTCATTAAATGGCCACAGACAGAGGTGGTGTTCTGTATATGTAGTATATTTCCATATATACTGTAGTATATTTTCTAATTATCCTTTTACAATTAAACCTCGTAGCAAACTTCTTAAGTTCTACTTAGTTTCTGGGTGGCTTTAAGAAAAGATTTTCCCCTTTACTTTCTCCCTACTTGTTCAGTGTCACATGCCGTTATTAATTGTCAGGCTGGTGCTTCTGAATGTCGACTGAAGAGCAATCTGAAGAATCACATTGTGTTTCTTGCTGAATTGATGAAGTAAAAGTGTACTGCTAGCAGATACTGCCAGCGTGCATGAAAGCAAAGCATTGAGTTTGAACAACCTTCTCTCTCCTTATGTCCTTTTAAGCTTTCTGCCTGCTAGGCAGAAATCCCTGGGAGAAATGGGCAGGGGAAAAAAATTCTAGCACTAAGTTACAACAAATTAAGAACTTTGCATATGTAAAGAACATCATATGCCTGTCTAAGCTGTGTGCTACACTCGTTGAATTAAATGGGAAGATTATCAATGCTGGAAGCTAGTCGATTGTATTTTAAGGACAACCGAGATGTGATGTTACTTTTTTTTTTTTTTTTTTTTTTTTACTAAAGAACTATGATACATTTTATTCCTGAAATTAATTTTTACATGTGCTTTTAAAAGGTTGACTTTTTAGAACATCTTGTGGTAGGATTTCTCTGATCACTTGTCAGTCTTAGTTCAAAGCTGTCAACTGTTATATTCCTTAAAGATATCACACAGATTTCCATAAATATGTCTACTTGATTGTACAATTTTCTAATAACTTATCATTCAAGCAGAGTTTATTTAGGACAACTATATTATCAGTTTCCTTCTTAATTAGTAAATGCCCGAATGATTGAGTTTTAGATTGAAATAACTCAAGGTCGATACAAAAGGTAAACTGGAAAGCAAGCCTTTAACAGTATAACATTCTAGTCACTATTTCTGGTTGTATTTACAAATGTGTTTGTGCTTTTTTTGTTGCATCATCTTTTAAATAGAAACATTTTTAAGACAGAGAGGGTAGATTTATGATTCATTTCACAAATGCTGAAGTTATGTTCTAGTCATCTTGCTGATGATACAAACTGTTTGATTTGTAGGACTAGCAAGCAGTTAGTTTTTTCATGTTACTTTATATAGCCTGCATCCATTTGTATGGTTCAGTTATTTGAATTCTCTTTTCTTGCTTTCTGCTGCTGAAGTCAGTGCAAAATTTGGCTGTTCTCTTCACTGTGATGGCACTGACTCCTTTTTCATGGGCAAATTGGAAGAAATTCAGTTTTCATTTGATCGTGAGGTAAATGTTTGATATAAAGGAAAAGGAAGTGTGCGATGTATCCAAATATACCTACATTCCTAAACTTGATGAGTTAAAAGTAATAATTAGTACATGAAAAAGTATAAACATCTTCACTTCTAGCTCTTGGTGAAAACACATTTTTTGTTTTGGTTTGGGGTTGTCTTGTGGTACTAATTCTAAAATTTGCAAGTATTGTAATATTTTTCATGTTCATATGACCTTTCACTCGAAACCAAAAATCCCTGCCTAATAAGAAAAAACCTTGCACTTTTCACCTCGATCAAGGATTAATCATCGTGGGAGCCAGCCTATTTTTGATTGGAAAAAAAAAAGAATAGTTATTTAATAAATATTGTATAACATCTCACGTCTGAAAAACATATTCCAACACTGAAAACTGTGTATGTACTTACTGAGCACAGCAAAGACTGGCTTTTCAACCTGAGTACGACAGCTGCACTGTGTAGCACTAAACTTCATGATATTGACAGAATCTTTGAACGATTGAAATACATAAGGAAACTAAATCACTGTGACAAAGTTGAGCTTTTCCAGGTTTGGGAATCTATAGTGTTTTCAACACTGAAAAAGTAAGGAGGTTTGATTCTTACCCTAAAAATCATGTGATTAAAAATGGTATTTATGGAGAAGGCTCTTATCAGGTTTCTACCCACTCCCCACTAAGACTTTGATCCTCCTTTTTTTTTTTTTTTTTTTTTTTTTTTTTTTTGTAAGAGAATAGTTATCCTTTAAGAGAACGCTTAACATGCCACAGGCGGCTCATACAATGCTACAACTTAATCAAGCAATATTAACTATGCAAAAGTAGAATTGCTACAAAACATGCATGTCTTGACTGTACTGCAACCACAGGGCACAGGACAGAATGCCTTGAAGAGCTTCCAAATGCAAATGTCTTATTTTAATAAAAATTAAGCACAGAAATTTTATTCAAGCCTCCTTGAAGTAGTAAAAACAACAAAAAAAAAGAAGTCATTACAAGGATGACAATTCTATAGTCTGGCTCCTCAAAACCTTGGTAAAGCAAAATATCCCTTTTTGGTCTTGCTTTTAGTCATTGTCTCAACCTGTATAAACCAATAAAAATCTTCTAAAAGAAAGATACAGGAGGATGTGTAGGGAGAAAGTACTTGTTTTGAAAAGTTTAAAAGCTTATTAGCTTCACTTGGAGTTCATCTTTAAAGCAGCCTTCAAAGGGGAGTTTGGGTCCCCTTGACTGTATGTTTATAAGTGGTTATTTCTAACCTGGTCTGTGGGTGCCTGCAGTGGTGCAGTGGCTGATACCAAACCTAACTGGTGATTTTTCTGCTAATATAATGGGTAACTTGGACGCTTTAAATTTTTTTGTGTGTTTGGAAGAAAAAGACATGAACCTTTCAAGTAAATATTTTTTGGTATGTTGTTTTGAAGGGGAAAAGTGTTTGGATGTGTGGCTACTTCAAATAGTGAAAATGGCTTTTCCTTGCACTTTCATAGTCAGCGTGGCGAATTCTGACTTCTGCTCAGGGCTATGTTATTTTCTTGCATGGATGATGTAAAACTTCCTTCAGTGAGATAGTCCACAAATCCCGGCTTTGATACCGCTGTGTAGTGACCCACACCGCAGGGGCACCGTCAGTGCAGGTGATGGTGGTGCAGCAGTGTTCACAAGAAGAAACTGGGCTTTGTGATTACTGTCGTTGCGCAGTTACTCCCTTGATACTTGTCTCTGTTGCCTCTGGACTTTCTTCTTTTCAGGTTAGCTACTGCTAAAAAAAGCACTGCTTTTTCCCTGTGAGTAACGGTAGCGGAGAGGGCACCGTGTAATTAATGTTACAACAACAACAACAAATCCAAAATGCCGAAGCTGGCCACCCAGCCATAGGTGTGTTTTGCACACAAAAGCACAAGTGACATTGCACACGGAAGCACAAGTGACTTATGAGGAGACAAGTCCCTTTCTGATCACATTGAGCCCCATTTCACTGTGTTCAATGCAACAGCATTTTCATACAGCATTTTTAAAAAATAGTTCTCAACTTTCTGCTAAATAATAGGCCTTTCCAGAAAAGGGACAGATTTGTCTCCCATAGCCTTTCTTGTTTGCTCTATTCTAGAATGTGTGATCTGTTTCAAGATTCTTTCTTCTCTGTGGCTCGTGTGCAACTACTGCTGTAAATATCATGACATGGGCATTCGTGTCCCTCTGAAGCTGCAATTCATCCAGTTGGAGAGTAAACAGTAATACTGAATTTAATGGTCTTTGTAGAGGAAATTAGGATGAAACACCCCTCCACTCAAATGGCAGGTTGTGCTTCCAATGCTCTGAACTAAAGTGTGCAGTAGCGTTAGAGGGGCAGTAAAAGAACTATTATTCCATAATCTGTTAAAATGTGCTCCTTATGGTCTTATGCCGGAAGAACACAGCAATTAGGAGCTGGAAAATGAATGTGATCAAAGTGATCCCAAACTTAAGGAGCTGGTAAAACACATCCTAAAACGGATCCCAAACACTTCGGTTCCACATTTTGTAATAAGGAAGCTGAAGGGTTACGTGGGAGCTGCTACCTCTTAATTAACGAGGCCACGTTCTTTTAGTGAAGTTCCATGATTCCAACTAAATTATTGTATAAAGCATCAGTTGAGGAAGTACAGTAACAGATTATGAAAGGCATATTTCTATGGCAGAGTGAGCACCAATGGGG